GGAGAAATTTGAATGTGTATTACATATTAGATAATATATGAATACTATTTTTTTTAGTTTAATAATATTTGTGGTTATGGAATAGAATGTTACTTTTTTTGAAGAGATATGTTGAATCATTCAAGATAAAATATATCAGAAATTAAGGATAAATTAAAAAGAAAGAGACAAAGCAAATGACATAAATTGTTAATTGATATACAGATGTACATTTCATTATTCTGTTTGTTTTATAAACAGAATATGTATATTATAATATATAATATAAATCTTTCAACTTTTCCATAGATGTCAGTTTTAAATAAAATTTGAAGAAAAAACCTTATGAGACCATTATTTCATTATTTAGCATTATTTCAGTCTAATGGTGTGTGTTTCTTATTTTATTTTCAATATATTTAAAATAATCTATCATTACCATACAATAAATGTACAAATTAGGTCTATTTTAACCCTATACTGTATTTTTTCATAAGAGATTAGCTATTATTTAATTTTAAATTCCAAAAGAGGATAAGAGAATTTATAGTTTGAAGACAAAGCATCTTGATTATCTTTGAGATGAACACAAAACGTAGCTAGCAATGCATGCCAAGAGGACATTTGGCAAATACACAAGAACATTTTGTCTGTGTCAAATAATTTTGAGCATTCTACATGTTGGTCAAAAACTTTCAAAGGCAAATGAATGTCAATAGCAACAGCAAAAAAAATCATTTTCAAGCTGTAGGTGGACATTATGTATTTTTGTAATAGGGAGGCGGGCTGCATTTGTTTTGTGCTACTATAACAGAATCCCTGAGCTGGGTAACATATAAAGAAATGAGGTTTATTTGGCTCATGATTCTGCACCCTGGAAAGTCCAAGACCATGGCCCTGGCATCAGCAGGGTTTCGCTTTGAGGGCTTTGAACTGTGTTACACATGGCACAGAAGTAGAAGAAGGAGCAAGCATATGTTAAAAGAGCCTTCTTTGGGAGGAACCTCATTTCATAACACCCTACTATGCGGTGACTAATCCAGGCCCTGGAGAATGTTATTTGACATCTAACATTAATCTTTCATGAGGAATCCGTCCTCATGACCCCGAGGTATCCCTGTAGCTTTACCTTGCAACACTGCTACATAGAGGACCAAGCTTCAACGTGAGTTGTGGGCCATACCATATCAAAATCATAGGATGAACTCTCGCAAGACTGTGGGAATAGATGGAGCTGGGATAATTTCACCCAGTTTTTCTCAAAGTCCCATAATGGTCCTGATACTGTTGAAGATAGGAAAGAAGACACACCAGGCTCCCTGAGTCATAAATGAAGGGCCTCAGCCCAGTGACTCTGAACCATCGGCCATCAGGAGGCACAGAGATAGATGGGGTTCATATGTTTTTGAAACAGACCTCAGTGCTGCCTGAAAAGTTGAGTTTACCAGAAAAGTGTAACTTTGTCTGAGCATCCAGTATCTGTTGTATAGATGTTGTTAGTGGCTGGTGGAATGTAGAACATGAAATGGAGAATCTTCTCACTGTTGTTGGTGGTTTCTGTTCAGCAGGAAACCTGAGCTGCAGCAAATCACTGAGTGGAGAATCTTTTGTCTGCATGGAGGGGGATAGGGGAGATTAGGAGTCAGCCTGAATACTCAGAGACCATAGAAATTGAGAACAACTACCTTGAGTGAACATCAGGGAGACATTAGAAATTCAACCAAGCCCCACACCAAACCCATTCATGTTGTTTTCTGGACCATCATCCTTATAGGCTGATACAAGGGGAATGTAGGAAAGGAGAGTAGATAATTCTAGGCCATGTCAGGTCGGTTTGTCTCAAATTACTGGCAGTAACATAGCAAATGATCATCACCACCCACCATCTCCTTGAAAGAATTTTTGTTTTTGTTTTTGTTTTCCTAATCTGCTATGTCCCTTGTCATGGCTAGTAATTCCTTCATAACATTTTATGAGATTATCTTGTATTTATTTGAACATAGGACACACAGTTACTTCTGAGTCTATCTGATCATTTTTACCTCTGAGATCCCTGTGGAGATTCTTTATTTATATTTTTTGTATTGTTTCTCAGTCGTGATATTTGTATTTCATGACATTTATATTTATTCTTTTTTTTTTAATTAGAGTCTCACTCTGTCACCTAGACTGCAGTGGCCGCTCCCAGCCATGGCAGCCTCGACCTGCTGGGCTCCGGCGATCCTTTCGCCTCAGCCTTCCAAATAGCTGGAATTACAGGCGCGCGCTATCACACCAGGCTAATTTTTTTTATTTATTGTAGAGATGAGGTCTCACCAGTTGCCCAGGTGGGTCTCAAACCCGCGGGCTCAGGCAATTCACTCACCTCAGCCTCCCAAAGCACGGGATTACAGGCTAAGCCACCGAGCCCTGCTTATATCTATTCTTATAAACCTGTTTATCTTTGACATTGTGCTAGATGTTATGGTTGTAGAAGTAAGTTTGGGTCTGGGATGAATGTAACTTCCTAAAAAAATGATTTTATTGTGCTTTTGAAACAATCTAAAATCTTGCTGCATCAGAATTCAAGCTTGAATATCTTAGATCACCTGCAGAACAGGTTTCCTTATTACTCATTGTCACTTTTAGAATTTGTCAATGGTCATATTTGGTTCATGCTGTTCTTTAACTTGACCACCTGACCTGTGAGTCTGCTTCATGAACTCTGAGTGGAGATCAGCAAATGCCCCCAACAGCAAAGAGATAACAGCCCTCACCTCCACAGACTCTTGTCCTCACCAAGATTCCAGCCAAGGTCTTCCTCATATATGTTTAGGACATTAATTAGAGCTTTTGTTAGTATTTTTTAACCTAACTGCTTGGATAATAACGGAAGAGGTGATTTATGTTCTCTCCTCTGTAATTACTGAAATTAAGGTCTAAAGGCTTTTATTTAAAATTATAATTTTATTTGAATTTTAATGTTAGTTTTTTGTGATTTACTTGATATTTAACTTCAATGGTAAAAAGATATTATACTTAATCTCTAATTGCAAACAAATACTTTTTAAATACTTTAAGGAGATTAAGACTCAAATTGTGACATTTCTTTGGTTTCAGCATTTTATTACTGAAGCATTTATATGTTGTCATTCCCTTTATTACATGAGCTTTGATATTCCATGGTATCATGTGACAAGATGAGAACAGAGAGAGAATATTCAGACTTGGTAACAGGACATATAATGAACATGAATTAACTTAGTTTCTGCACTGCTGTGACATATTTTACTGTTGTTTTTTGGTATACCTGAGAAGCATTGCTCAAAATTGGAGAAAATAGCTGTATGTGGCTATCATGCTTTCCCATTTTAATCCAGTTTCCTTGGACATTTTTTCCATTTGGAAATACTTTCCTGAAGTAATACTCCCATGTAATCTTTCTATTTCTTGCCAAACCTTCTCTGTAGAATGGGGAATTAGTTATCTTATTTACTCTTTTCTTCATCTTAGTTTGGTCTCTCTTCATTGTCTTCCTTTCGTCCCGACAACTGAGAAGGAAAGCAGATCCCTTTCAATCTGCACTAAAATCAGTGTAGAACATTCTTTCCTTACAGAGTTTGGGAACAGTTTAAAGGGTAGAGATAACAGATTAAATACTGTTTCAGGATTGTGTTGGCCAAACTATTGATCTTCTAATTGAGTCCTGTTGTTTATCAATATTGAAGTTGGACATTATCTCCACCTGTCTCTCTCCAATTTCCATCTCACAGGTTGTTCCATGTTAGGCAATCACATTAATATTATTTATTGGCTTTCTAACACCCACAAATCTTAAAATCTAACATGTCCCGTACGTCTGCCTTACGTTCTGACAAGAGAGCACATGTCTGCTACGGGTCACTGGCCACTAGGAGGCACTGGGGGTTCATTGTCATCCAGAGTCTATGGAAGGGTGTTAAGATAGCTCCCTGGAAGATCATTGAGGGGAATCCTGAAGTTGAACCTAGATTCAGAGTTGATTTGTACATGTCTTAAAATAGGGCTGGAAATGGAGGAATTAGAGACCCAACCTTTCTTCCTCCGTTGGTTCAGAGCAGGGTTTTACTGAAAATCGAGCTTTGTATTGGACTCTGAATGGCATGTGTGTTTGCAGTGGATATGCCCCTTAGGTCGCTGAAGATGTGGAGACACAAGCATTTGGATGGTGCAGCACCATATTCTGGGTTGTGGAACCCAGAGAAGCAGTTAGTGTGCCAGGAGAGCCTTAGAGAGCCAGGCCCCTACCAAATCAGGCCAATCGACCTGCCCTGTTGAATGTAGACAGTAGGACAGGGAGAAACAGAGATGTTGCTTTGGACAGCACCTGTTCTCAGGTAGCTACAATCAGAGTGACATCTTCAGCACATTCACTTATTAGGCAGGTACTGGGGTAGACCAGAATAACAGGATTTTCTCCCCACAAAACTTTTGATCACGGCAGAAATATGTCACAATCTAATTCTAACTTCATCACTCAGCTTAGACTCCTGTGTGTCCTCTGGAAGGAGGTGAGTAAGTCTGGGCAGAGATAAGGAGGTTTTTGGCTTAGGCTTTCTTTGACCTGATTTCAAGTTTTTTTTCTATGTGATTGTACATCTGTCTCTACTTGTATTTTTTATCTAGCTTCTGCATCTTTCTCCCGTGAGTCCGATGGATACTACAAGGCATTTGATTACTATTGCTACTGTAAAAATTGGCAGGTTACTAGGTAAGAGATACAACAGAGAAGGCGCTTTTGAATTCATAATATTGAAACACAGGAGCCTCTGTGTGTGTCAGTCTGTAACTCAAGTCATTTATAACTGAGTTCTGTCCTGCCTGACTCATCTCTTAAAGATGCAGCCTTCTCTGAGGGAGCTTTCAAGTTGTGGGCGGTGGCTCATTCTGTGATGTCATGGGCAGATGCATCTTGTGGAGATGAAACATTCCAAAATGTCTTTCTCTGCTTATGCTAACAAGGGCCCTGGTCTGGAATGTTCTGTATCAGCCCTCAACGTGCCATGGACACCTGGATCTTCTGCTTTATGGCCATTTGTATCATGGTAGCAAGTGAGTCCTCAGAATATTTAGCATCGTCATGTTGGGCTTCTGTATTGATGACTCCTTATATTTTCCTTTTCTGTCCTCCAATTCTGTCTTCTTTTATAGAGCACACAGATGCTGGGGTCAACCAAACACCGAGGCACAAGGTCACAGAGAAGGGACAAGCAGTGACTCTGGAATGTGAACCAAGTTCAGGCCACAGTGCACTTTACTGGTACAGACAGACCTTGGTGCAGGGACTAGAGCTGCTGATTTACTTCCGCAGCCAGTCTCCTGTGGATGATGGAGTGATGCCCAAGACTCGGTTCTCAGCTGAGATGTCTAATGCCTCATTCTCCTCTCTGAAGATCCAGCCCACAGAACCTGAGGACTCAGCCCTGTATCTCTGCTCCAGCAGCATAGACACAGCGCTGCAGAACTTCCCCTCCCTTTGCAGAAACTCTGGGGCTTCCCTTCCTCTCAAGTTCCCAGTAGTTCTGAGGAAAGCCTTCAATGATCCTCCCTTTCAACAGAACTAGGAGAGATTGTGGCATGGCAAAGACAGAAAGCAGTAAGGCATCCACATAGGAAATCTGGTATAAGAAATCATTAGGAAAAACAACACCTGCAATCCACTATTGATTGATTATATTTCCTTTCTTTTATAGTTGTGTTTACATACTGACTGCTTAAACTCCTCTCAAGGTATCACTGGCAACTGGAGCAAAATATGCCCATATTTTGAGTGTCCAACACAATTTAGGTTTCCTGAGTTCTGCAATATAGACAAATTCCACTCATCATGGTCTATTTCTTGTTGTTCAGGGGCCATGACTTTCAAAATGAGAATAGTGCAGAATGAAACCCAGGTTGTTTTACATGTACATCAAGAGACACAATTATCTGTGTCTATATATTATTTGACGGTGTTCCTCCCCCTCCTGGCTCCTCTCTGCTGCTTCCAAATGATTTCTCTCCATTCTCTTTTAGAGCTCAGCTCCCTTCCACATGCAGAGTTATAATATTCCTCTTACACTTCTTTACCTTCAAAAAATCTCTCTTCTTATTCAATCCTGACATCATTCCTATTGATTGATCATCAAAGATACAATTTATATATTGGTCTGGTTTCTCGGTTTCTTTTCCTCCTCACTTTTGAGAAGTATTTTTCCTCTAATATTTTCGAGACTTACTTCCATGATTATAGCAAATATCTACTAAATGAATGAATGTCTTCCTCAGCCTTGTGCTCTCTGAAGGTGAGGAATTTATATAACATTTTCCTCAACCAACTCATCTTTGACAAAGCCTCCAACAACAACCAATGTGGAGAGAAGAACCTATCTAGTAAATGGTGCAGGGAAAACTGGCAGACCACATGCAGAACATTGAAACAGGACCCCTACCTATCACCATACACAAAAATTAACTCTAAATGGATCAAAGACCTAAATGTAAAACCTCAAACTTTAAGAATCATAGAACATGCAAGAGACAGCCTTATGGAAATTGGAACTGGCAACCAATTCCTATTCAGAACCCTAAAAGCCAATACCTTAAGAAATGATTATAGACAAGTGGGACCTCATCAAACTAATGAGCTTCTGCAAAATAAATGAAACAATCAAGAGAGCAGGGAGACGGCCCACAGATAGGAAAATAATATTTGCCAACTGTATATGTGACAAAGGACTAACATCTAGGATCTACAAGGAACTTAAATGCACCGAAAGGAAAAAAAACAAACAGCCCCTTTAAAAACTGGGCACAAGGCCAGGCTCGGTGCCTCGCTTTGGAAGCCTGAGGTGAATGGATTGCCTGAGCCCGCGGGTTCGAGACCCGCCTGGGCAACTTAGCAAGAAGACCCCATCTCTACAATAAATCAAAAAATTAGCTGGGCATGGTAGCGCACGCCTGTAGTTCCAGCTACTTGGAAGGCTGAGCAGAAGGATGGACAGAGCCCAGCAGGTCGAGGCTACGGTGGCCAGGAGCATGCCACTGCACTCCAGTCTGGGTGACAGAGTGAGGCTATAACTCAAAAAAATAAATAGATAAAAATAAAAAATAAAATAAATAATAAAAAGTGGGCAGAAGACATGAATAGACACTTCTCGGAAGAAGATATACAGGCAGCCAACAGACACATGAAAAAGTGCTCAGCCTCACTCATCATCAGAGAAATGCAAATCAAAACCACATTGAAGTACCACCTAACCCCAACTAGAATGGCCATAATTAATAATACAAACAACAACAGATGCTGGCGAGGATGTGGAGAAAAAGGAACACTTTGATACTGCAGATGGGAATGCAAACTAGTGCAACCTCTTTGGAAGACAGTATGGTGATTTCTGAAAGAACTAGAAATTGACCTTCCATATGACCCAGCAATTCTCCTATTGGGAATATACCTGGAGGAACTCAAATCATTCTACAAAAAAGATACCTGCACACATATATTTGTTGCCGCTCTATTCACAATAGCAAAAACATGGAACCAACCGTGTTGCCCATTGAAGCTGGACTGGATAAAGAAAATGTGATACATATACACAATGGAATATTATGCAGCCAAAAAGAAGGACAAATATATGGACTTCACAACACCTTGGATGAATTTGGAGTCGATCATACTCAGTGATCTATCAAAGAAACAAAGAACAAAGTACCATATGTTCTCATTCATAAATATACCTTGAACAATTATAATACTATGAGAAAGCATTTGGCAGTAATGGGAAACTGTCAGGGGATGGGGGTGGGATTGACAGTTGAGGGAAACTGCTAGGGGAGGGGAGCATACCTCATCGACAAGGGTACCTGCATAATCAATGTTTGTATACCTAACTCTGAATTGTACCCCACATCTTTATAATTAAAAAAAGAAATATAAAAAGAAGACATACAAATACAAGTATAGGGGAATAAATGCTTAACATCCCTAATTGTCAGGAAAATGTAAATCAAACTACAATGAGTTATCACATCATACCTGTGACAATGGTTACTATCAAGAAGACAAAATATGAGAATTGTTGATAAGGTTTATGTAGTAAAAAGAATCCTTATACACTGATGATGGAAATGTAAATTGATACAGTCATCATTAAAGACAATTGGATGTTCCTCAGTTCAAGGTCAAAAAGTCTAATGTTAGTTAACTTCAGATTATATATTGAGGAAAGCTTGTTAAAAATCTTAAAATGCTCAAAACACTTAATGAAAATGGGAACACATGTGACTGTAATATAATATTCACCCACTTAAGAAGATTGATAATTAGAGATCAGTTATCGTATGCAATTAAACAGCTTAGTAAAGATAACATGATGCACAGGAAATTACTTTGATAAAACATAAAATCTTTATTCCTAGGCAAAATATAGAAGGAGAAAACGTCTCCTATATTTTTTAAGACCAATGAATACTCTTAAAAATCTTGCTATTTTAACAAAGGATGTAAAAATTTAGTTTTGCGTCAGTGTACTTTAGATTTTAAAGATCAGTCTTTATAAAAACGTATAAACAATTCCCTTCTAATTTTAGACAATTTGATTACACACCAAGTTCCCTTTACAAGACTTATTTTTCACAAACCTTTTGCAACTTACTCAGACCTTCTAAAGTTGCTCAGTTTACCACTTTCTCAAACCTGTAGCTTTTCTCTATTTTCTCTTTTCATATAAGAACAATCAATAAGATACCATAAGATAAAATTTATTTTTCTTTCCTTTTATCATTAAAGACACACAAAAATTCTGTTCTCAATAACATACTAACACTGACACATATATATCCTTCGCTATTTAGACTTTCTTTGCCAAAAAAATGCATCCTCATAAGTTCCTTTGTAAATCTTTCTCTTGAAATTACTGTTTCCTGTCTCTCCTTTTTATCTAAACGTACTTTTTAAAATGATCTTTAAATTCCAAATTTAGATAAAATTATTCTTTTTAAATAAAAATATATTTATATTTTCATGCCTTTAAAACATTTTTTTACCAATAGCACATCTTACTTCTTATAGATTATGTATACAAAACTACACATACTAATAAGGATTTATAACTCTTAGTACCCTGTGTTTATAATGAAAAACCTAGGAAGAAAACAATTTTGAACTTTTTGTTATATACCAACAGCTTAGGAATACACATGTTATAATTATTAGAAGCTTGTGCTTTCTCATAGAACAGTCTTTTAATATGGAAGAGGATGTATTTGTTAATAGAACCCTATATATACTTGTTCCTTTGTAATAAGGAGGCAAAATTAGATAAATTTAAACTCCATGTTCAACAATTTGTGCTTAGTATTTTATCTTAAGAATATGAATATCCATTACTTAGCTCAATATACCATAATTTTAATATGTCATATAAAACTACTATTTATAAACATCTAACGCATTTATATTTGCACAATGCATTTATTTGAATAATTATGCCTAGATTGATTATGAAGACTGAGATATTAGACAACTAGACATAATTTTAATTCATTTCACTGTTATCCATTTTTAGGGACTATGTATATCAGGGGTTCACCTAAGGAAGATGTTCAAAGTTAAGTATATATATACATATTGCCAATAGCTAAAAAAATACAGCTTGCTTCACTGAACCAACAATATTAAATTAGGTTTATTAAAATGTTACACAAAGATCATTGTACACTTGGTTGGAATTTACATTTCATGATCTTAAAACACGTATCAAAGACAAATACAAACCCATCTCACCACCAAACCTAGGCAAAAAAATTATGTAAACAATTCTGAATATACCTGTATTTTTATTTTATTAATCCATTAAAATAAAAAAGTACTTGTCATTTCAACTAAAAAGCATTTAGGTGAATTACTGTATATTTTAATTTACAGTATTAATTTATCTGAATGTTTATTTGTTAATTTGAATAGAATTTCTTAAGGTATTTTGTCTGATTATATCAGATTTCATCAGGTAGATAAAACATAGTACATATATGTAGTTAAAAACACACATAAATAACACAAGGATCTTTGAGCATTCATTTTAAAATTTTAGTCATGAGACAGTAAAATACAATAGTATAAACTGACATACTTGATTCAAAATATTTTTTCTGACATAACAGCACAAGTTAGGGTTATCAGTTCAGATGCTCAAAGCTTTTTACTAACATTTGTGAAGAGGAATTTTATATTTTTACATTTGCCTTCAATAGGTAATTTTGTCAAGGTTGTGAACTAAATTTTGGATAAAGCATATTATTTTTTAAAAAGCTTCTTTCATCCTTAAAATTTTTTTTTTTCAGTCTCCAATGCAATAAGGGATTAATTCATCAGATATTGACACTTCATTGTAATGTCAAAAAAATCTCCAAAGAGTCTTTGAAATTTGTAACAACATATTTCTCTTTTATATTTTAATTTTGAAGACTAGGATTACTGATTATTTATCTTAATATAAGCATAAAATTCAGCAAAAACAGAGTAATCAGGAAAAAAATAAGAGGTTATAAACCTCTACATGCCCCCATATCATACAGACAAATA